GTCTAATAATAATATAGGCCTATATTATATATATTATATATGAATTGAATATATATATGTATATATATAATATATATATATATATAACATTCTTTGATGGTTATATATACAGTATATATAATTATAATTATATATATTATTATATATGAATATAATAAATGTAAATTGTCTAAATCTGGTCAATAACGCTTAACTGTTTAATGATTTTGAAGATTTTGTTTGTCATAATAAATAATATTGAATACTGTACTGCACTTGTACCATGTCGGTCCACTAAAAATCATAAATTATATGGATCGTTTCTCCTTCGTTGTGTCGAAAATTACTATTTACCCGGCAAAAAGTACCTCCTACGGCAACGAATCTGTGCTTTTGCTGTCTTTTATCGCCTTACGTTATATATCCAGACGCCGTTTATATAACCTTCACTAGGGAAGAAAACGCCGACGATTGGTATACGATGGTTTTGTAAGATCTGGCAAATTGGTGAATCCTAAAGAGTTGTCTGTCAAACATGATAGTAATTATCGATGTTTGCAATGCTGATACTTGATTTCGAGAAGGTAAAATCATAGAATATAGGCTACATAATATCAAGCATAGGCCTAGTACTTAGAATAGGGGATGTTATTTCAGTTATCCTACCTAGGCCGTGCCCAAGCCAAGCGAGTCTGCGATGGAGCACGCACATGTTTTACCGCACCAGAATGGTGTTGATTTTGCTCCTCCATGTACGCTGGTTGGTAGAGCTAGAGCTAGCCCCTAGGCCTAGGTATGTGCATTAATTAATATGATGTGTGAAAGGAGGCGACTTCAAAATGTAATCAGATGATCGCTTTGATGGTGACTGAACAAATAAATAATAGGCCTTGCAATCGAAAGTAAACTCATATTTGCGTGGAAAGTAACTTTGAAAATAGGCTCACATAATCTTTTAATTTAAGTATGGACTGCGATAACCTAGGCCTAAATTAGTTGTTTTTTGAGAAGTAAGTTGTCTCGATAAAATGCCTCCACCAGTACCAAATGTTATCTGTCCATGTGACTATAGCCCAACAGTTCTTCCCCCCCCCCCAAAATGCCTCCGGGGTATTTATAATGCCTTTGACCACTTGTCGCACGGTCATCTTTTTCCAGCTCTGTGTAACCTAGGCCTAGCATATTTTAGACAAAGGCCTAAATATACCTAGGCAAAATTTTTTGCAAACTTTGAAAGTTTTAATCATAGAAAAGTATGGCATGTAAAATATTTAACAATACATTCAAACACAAGTGGTTTAGTAAACAGAAATGGTTTGTTTTGATAAATGATGAGCTTTGACTTTGTTTTTTTCATTTCTAGATGGAAGTTGACGTAAGCAATTGTCTTGCATGTGGTGATGCTGGGCAAGCAACTCCTTTAAGACGTTATCACTTGAACCTTAATGATGTGGTCCAATGTTGTTCTAATAAGCAGGTACTGTATCTTAAATTATATTTTTTTAAATCTTATGAACAAAATAGTTGTATATTTGAACTTGACTATATTTTGATTTTTTGACCTGATTCAATGTTTTGATTGTATCTAAAGTTATCAAGATTTTTACCACAGACAGTATAACTTGAACATACAGTAAACAAATATTATAAGAAATTAAGAATATATTTTCATTACTGGAAAGAAATAATAAGGATTTTTTTGCTGTAATTTCAGTGTACATACCATTTGCAAAATGCAAAACTGTCAAACATAGCAGTGAAAGAGAATGCTAATTTATCAGAATCATCACTGTTCCACAAGGCAAGTAATACAAACAGAAACAGCTTAGGAGCTTCAGTTATCCAATGGACCAATAGGAACTCGCTGTGTTGGCTTGACGCCTCTATGTGCGTCCTTGTGATGATCAACAGCCTTCGGGAATGCATCAACAAACTAAAAAAACGTTGTATACTACAACGGCTGTTTGAAGCTTATGATAAAGCAATGGATGTTTATTGTGAAGACCAATATTTGAATAGAATACTTGACAGTACTAATGGAAAGATCTCAGTTCTAGAAGAAAATGTAAAGATTGACGATGATTTGATGTGTCAGGACTTACCGCTAGTTGAATCATCTCTTGATCTTAATGAGACTGTTACCACTCTGAGTAAATCTAAAGTGAAATTAAAGGAAGCAATAAACATTTTAAATAACATAAGGGACAAGGTATTTACTGAGTTGCAGCCAATTCTTAAATGCAAGGTTGATGATGAGGATAGTCCGTTGTTTGCCATTTCGGGACTTCTGAATGAAAGCAAACCATTTGCAGAACACTTCTCAGCACGCTATCACTTGCAGTTCCACTGTACACTGTGTGGATACATTCAAGTCACATGGTTAGTGTAATATAAATTTTATTTAGTCATTTATATGAAAAAAATTAAAAACAATTGTATGTTATGAACAATATCCAAATTGTAGAACAAACATTAATAAAGTTACTGATATGGTGTTGATAAAAATATTGATATTGGGGTGTTCGAAATTTCCAATTAGTGGTTGGCCTATAATTTTCTTTTGAAATTGTAGCCCATGCCTCAAATACAAAATCTATGGGATACTAGTTGTTTAATTGCAGTATAGTATTTCTAAAGTTATCTGTTCATTATTTGATTACTAATGCACAATTTCTTTTTCAGTTTTCAGAAAACATTTGTAAGCTTTGTAGAAGTACCAACTGGATTTGATTTTAATTCTCCTGTAATGTTGAGGAAGTGTCCTGAATGTAATGCAAGCCAGCAACCAAGTCAACTAGTTTATCACAGGTATGAATCAAATAATACTTACTTCATTCATTCATTTCATTTTATTTTATTTCACACAACAAAAAAATACAATATAAAATTCTTCAGAAAAGTAAATAAATAACAAGGGCAATGTAATCAAATTAAGTAATATTAACAAATTATTAAATTACAATAAATGATAGTAAGTGAAGATATAATAATTAATAAAGTAATAATAATAATGATAATAGTAATAATAAGATAAAAATAATAATAAAATTTATAGTAATAAAAATGATGATAATAGTAATAATAAAAATAATAATAACATTTATAGTAATAAAATTTATAGCAATAATAATGATAATAATAATAATAATAGTAATAATAATAATAATAATAATAGAAAGGTTGTGTGCGGAGGACACAATAAGCCATTAAGGTTTTAAGTCTGTGCCTCCAATTAACTTAAGCTAAGTAGTATTGAGAGTGAAAGAAGGCCTAAATTAATTCATCAAAACTGTAAGGTTAATTACAAGGAGAGTGTAATATTTATAAAATAAGAAGTGATAGAAAAGATAAGTTAATAATAATTATTTTATTTGTAATTAAAACAAAAGGTCGTGAAACAAAAATAAAAATAAACAAAAAATAAAAATAAAAAATGCAAGTAATAATAAAAGGCCAAAAATAATAATAACAATAGGTCGATAAAATAAGTGAAAAAGTACTAACAACATCAGAACAGAACAAAGATAATAAATAATAAATGAGAAAAAAGGGAGCGATTTTTATATTATTATAATATGTAATTTTGAATTAGAATGTTTTTGTATCTATGTTTAAAGGAGTTAATATTAGGAACTTCCTTGAGTTCAGATGGCAGATTATTCCACAGATATGGTCCGGTGTAAATAAAGGATGTTCTTCTTAGAGAGGTGGAATGTCTCTCAAAATAAAATTTTTTGCAGTTGCAGATCTGGTATTATAAAAATGTTGTTGACTAAAACTTTTAAAATATGAATAAAATTGAATAAAGTTGATTATTGCTTAAACGGAACATAAACAATGCAGTCTGGAGTTACTTTCGGTGATTCTAAATTGATATGGGACAATATATGTCAGTACCAGACAATATATGTGAGTACTGCACTGCGGCTTCCATTGGTGCCCAGCCATATTTCCCACTTTCAAATATTTGGAATTTAGAAAAAAAAGAAAAATTTATTTAATTTACATTATTTTTTTTATTTCTTTTCTCTTCTCAGATATTTTGAGTCGGTGTGGCTTGCGTAAAAAAAGTACTCATTTTTCTGACTTAACATGAGAGTCGTTATTGTTACACCAATCGTAATTGAATTCATAATTGTTATTGGATGTTATTTTCCTAATACAATCCATACATACAACATCCAATCAGAAATTGGTGTAAGACTGGTGTTACAATAGACATGCTAATGAAAAACATTTATTATTTATTAAATTTATTACTATGTACAGTAGGGTATTTTTGTGTTTTCATTTTTGTTCAATATTTGACAAATATCTAAATGTCCATTTTTATTGTCTCTTTGCAGACTGTCACAGTGTGTAATGATGCACTTTGTAAATGGTCTTCCTCATAATAATCTTGATCGGTTGGAAATGTTCGTTGATGGAGATCATTATAAACTTATAGCAATCATGCAGTACAAGCAAGCTCCGAAGCATTTTGTGGCATGGATGAGGGAGAATAACGGTAAGTTAATTATATTATTTAAGTGGTTATCACAGAGCACAAGTGGCTTCAATAATTCACAATAGATGAAAATGAAAAATGTGTATTTATGAACAGCAAATACAGCTCAGCTGATGTTTAGCACCTCATAAAATGTTTAAAATGCTTTTGACAAAATTCACACAAAATAATTATATATACAGTAAAACGTCCATTTTACGTACCCCTTGGTATCAAGGGGTATTCGTAAATTTAAAAATTTGTAAACTAAATCACGTGTCAGTTTCCACTACCTACCCCTAGCTATCTTCTGCCACTGAGCGCCGACAGGCTAGTGGCGGCCTGGCCGCGAAAAATTTTTTCCTGGACGTTCAAGGCAGTGACGATTGGCTGCGCAACAGATTCAATATACACTGTAATGCCTCCCCTTGTGTCAGCAATAATCTCATGAATATTTATAGATTGTCCTGCTGCTGTCGAGGGTTTATGCGATATCCAAAGCTTGAGCAAGTGGACAACATGCATACAACACTGACAAGCCCTACTGCAGTAGACCTTATTGTGATGGAGAGAGGGTTAATTTTGAATCTATGGCGCTACCAATCGCCACTGCCTCAAATGTTCAGGAAAAAAATTTTCTAGGCCTGGCCTAGCACGAACCGTTGGTACAGCAGCATGGTCTACCGTGCTAGAGCCTAGCAGAAATTACCTTCGATAAAAACCAAATTATTGTAATCACTGGCATTCTTCTGTTTAACAAAATATTGTTTTAATTCTTATTAAAACATCTGTATGTTTTAAGGACCTATCAAGTTCTTTCTATTTTTTAGATCACTGAATTGTTGTTACTTACATGCATTTCGCGATCATCTACCTCTTCACGATGTCAATTAGTTGTTGACCCCCAACACACTTGTTTACATGTGCGCTCAATCCGACGACTCGCGACAAGCCTGATTTTATTAAGAAAAATCTACATTTTCACTCATACATACTCAATCGGACATTTTTTTACATTAATAATTTGTCGATAATGATGTCATCATAAGCAAAATTGATTATTTGTGAAGTCGACGTTCGTAAAACAGACGTTTTACTGTACTTAATATTGGCATTAATTTAATTGATTTGGAGCTCAAGGACGATGAGTTGAAAACAGACAACAACATACAAAAAATAATCAATAGAAAAAGCTTACTTGCACAACTTACAACTTAATTACTTGTTTAAGTAATTCTGATAGTTTTTAAATGTATTGAAGTAATAGTTTTTAAATGTATTTAAGTCATTCAAATACTGTAGTTATAAAGTTGGTAGTAGGTTGTGATGAAATTGCACTATAGCCTATTTTTAGCCATTGGCTAATTTTAATATACTTTTATACCTGAATAAAAGAGATTTGTAGAACCCTTCCAATACTATTAAACAGAAATAAGTCCAATTGAATATAATCATTATATTTTTCCCATTTGTTTTGCAGAAAACCTGTGGATAAAATGCGATGATTTAATGTCTTCTGAGTGTACGTGGTCAAACAAAGTGCCCAACATACCACCAAAAGAAATCCATATCATTATATTTGAAAGACAAAAAAGACAATGTGTGAGTTGTTTTAAACAGCTTGATTACATCAACAGTTTGATTAATTCAACCGTTCCAGTAAAAACGCCAAAACAGACCATCCAGAAACATCTACAAGTACAACCTGGCTCATGTCAGACACTTGCGGAATTGCCAAAACCATCCCATCAAATTATACCGCACACTGCCAATAAAAATTTGTCCATGAATGGAAGCAAGTTTATGGGATTCGAAGAGAGTAAAGAAAAGAACATTCATAGACTGCACACAAAGAAAAAAACTACTACAGATAATGTTCTTCTTGACAAATACCTTGACACCTGCTTAAAAGGGAATATGGCACTGTCATCAGCATCAAGTATTGCTAAACCAAAGGTTAATTCATCCAAAAACCCTGGAAATAAAAGAATAACAAAACAATTGCTTAATAAAATTCAATCTAAACCAAGTGATAAAGTATCGATTGTGATGGCAACAATTCCAGATTGTCTTTTACCACAAGTGTGTGCCAAAAACCCTAGACAAATTTCCAACCGCAATAAACCTGTTAAATTGGGCTGTGAATCGACCACAGCTTCGTCTTATACACGAAGGAAATGCCCACAGTTTCATACAGGACGCAAAACCAAGTTTCCAGGGTATTCTTATGGGCAAAAGGTGGACGATGAGAATAGGAAGTTGTTTGATGGCTTCAGAAAAACTTCAATCACAAGAAAAGAGAGTGTAGACTTAACCGTACCATCTCCTAACCCAAGCATTACATCTGATTTTAGTGGTGCCTCCGATGTACAGTCGATGGAGATTGATACTCCATCGGAGTGCAGTTTAGACAGTAGTGGGCTAGACAGTCAGGGTAGCGCATGTCACAAGGAAAATATATCACTTAATGCAACATTAGATGCCAACAGCGCATTTACAGAGTCAGCATTTGATCTTCTAGATGACAACCAGGATGATTTTTTATCATCATTACTAGAAACCAATTTTGTTCCAATACCTTTTTAGTTGTACTCACCATGATCGCCATATCTGGTAAAATACTATTAATAAATTTGTATATTTTATTACTGTTGGTACTACATAAATGTAGATGTTATTGTCAACAGACTTGCATATATCTGGTAAAAAATAATTTTGTACATTTTGTTACTGATGCACTCCATAATATTTTATTGGTATAATTTATAAAGAGGAATTGCAGCATTTTCTCAGCTTGAAAAACATGTATGCATAGTTCTAGAAGTGTACGCTGTCTGAGAAGTGCGTTGCTCATTTTACTTGAAATTTTAAAGTGAATCTTACTTGTGTTTCAGGACAAAGATTGTCGATCCTTGCTGTGTTATCTAGCCTTGTAGAATTTCTCTGGGCATGAACAAAAATTGATAATAATAATACAAAAATAAAGATCCACCAAGGGTGCTCAATTATTTGCAATTGGATTGACAAAGTTCTGTTTGTACTTTAAAGTGTGCATTTTTGGCATGGTACTGTCATCACACAATTTTATGCAAATATTTAGCAATGTGGCAAGCACAGTAATATAAATTACATACAAATCTATTTCATTGTTTTGTTCATATTTTATAGAGCACATTGAATATTACAGCATTTTGTTGCATTCCAACAATATAGGATTTCTTTCCCATACCCTCATAAGTATTGGTTTTAGAAAGTTGCATTTGTGTGTCAAGTTATAATGAAGTCACTTCTTGAGACCCAAGGGTCTCACAAACCCCGACAAGTACTGATTAATGCATACTGTTATATATTATTTGCATGAAATATGTATTAATTTTATTGTTAAAACTAAAAATGATAAATCAACATGGTGTAATTATAATTATTGCTATAAAAAATGTAGATATTTGTTTAATAAAAGTACAAAAACTAATGTACCTGAACATCATTTGTATTAGTATTTTTTTTATATACTACAGGTTAAATTTGTAAGCAGTGGGCCTTTCCTAATTGAGAGACTTACCAATCAGAAGAAAACATTTGTTGTTCCACAAACACACATGATTGTGAACGTTTGAGCTTGGGATCTTAACACTATTAAAGGGGCAGGCTTAGTGGTAAGGTCCGCTTCCATCATTTTTCGCGTATTGTAGCATAAGGGGCGTATCCACGTTGGTTCTGGAGGATGTAACCACAGAAAACCAATAACCTAAGCAAAACAACTCACTGGGTCTTGAAATGATAATGATGATAATAATAATTTTGGCTTATATAGCGCATTATGCTAAAGCCTCAATGCGCTTAACAGTAAAAATAAAATAAGGATGAATGAGTTGTGAAATAACATTGGCGAGGAATTATGAAGTGCTTTGAAAACAAATAATAAAATCTTGTAAGTAATTCTCTGTGTTGCAGGAAGCCAATGAAGGTGCCTTAACACAGGAGTGATATGATCCTTAATTGGGCTTAAAGTGACCAAACGGGCAGCTGCATTCTGAAGTTTTGAAATGATGACTTAATAGTCTGCATTAAATGTTATTTTTTTATTTAGTCTTCATTTGCCAGCAGGTCTGAGTAGCAATATCCAGTGGTGGTGTCAGCTGGGGAAGAGGGTAATTCCCTCTCCCCATTGGACTGGCCTGGACCCCTGATGCCACGACGAGGTCGTTGGGCCACACTCCATCCACAAAAACCTTCCTGATTGGGCATCTATAAGCAAAAAATACGCTCATAGATGAGAATCACAACATAGGGCCTATACTTTTTTTGCCGATTAGCTTTCACGACTGCGATCATCGAACCCCCCGCCATTCAATCTTCGTTTTTTTTTTTTTTAAGATACACTATGGGGAAGGGACAGATAGCCAGTATTCCTTGTTAGATGGCCCAGAGTCAGTGGTATAGTATGAGTGGGGAAATGAGGTGGTTCATAAGATACACGTATACGTGGTACATGGGTAAACATTACCTGTATTACGTACATTTTAGTCATATAGCTAATTATGGTACTATTCTATAACAATTGTTACAATAGCCTGTCAATTTTATATTTTGTGGTGTCTGATAGATCAACAAACTGGTTTTCTCTAATAAAGTGTTTCTGAAGGCCATATATTATGGTTTTTGTTTCCTATTACTGTATTTTTTTTATATCTGAAGCACATGTATGTCTATGTTAATATGCCTGTATATACAGTATATATAT